CACACCTTATTTGTGTAAGACAGGATCTTCTATATATGTTTAAAACACAATAGCATATAAAAACAAATTTAGTGGAGAAATAGATAGAAGAATCCATATATTTTCAATTAATCCAGGTACTAAAGTGATTTATAAAAACACGATAACGTATGCATGCTTGAAGTTGGAAATGATTTCTGGAAATAGCTGTCCTCTCATTAAAATAACATAAATCTCTCTCTCTCTTAATTTCCATGTCCTATAATGATAAACTGAGTTTATCTGCTTTCATATTACTGTTGTGACCCAAAAATTGCTTTATGGAGTATCAATCAACCAGAGAAGAAGAGACAGATGGACAGGATGTGCCATTTAAGGCCAGAGTACTTCAATACTTTAATATTATCTCCCCCACAAGGACAACCAAGAAGGCCCCAGGTTTCACAGGGGAATCTACAAGCTACTGGCTCCTCTTTAAGCCTGGGCTCCTGGATGATCGGGAGGAACAGAGTTTCCCGCCACATAATATGTGACACGCATTGTGAAGGAGAAGTAAACTTCCGTGCATTTAGCCACTAAAATCTGGGGGATCATTTGTTACTGCAGCATAATCTAAATTAACCTAACAATGCATTTCAGTGACATGGGACATGGGACCGAGTGGTGGCCTAGCTGGATAAGTTGAATGTGCTGAAGAGTTTGAAATAGAACAGTTAGTGATTCCTTTATGGCGGGCATGCCTAAAATGATAGGAATACACTTCTTGAGACTTTACAAGGCAATAAGTTGAATTTTTAGAAAAGGATGTATAGCTGATGAAACAAATGGGATGCAAGTTTCTTCTGGAACCTTCTGGCACGTGCAATTTGGGTGCAATGCTACAGGCTCAGACAGAACCGAGTGAGTCCTGGCATGACCATTCAATCACACGAACATGAGGAATTACTCAGTTTTCTCAGCTTCAGACCCTCTTTCAAATGCAAGTAAGACTTTGAAACCCCGGGGTTATTGGGAAGATGATAATAATAAATGAATGAGAACATCGAGAAGATCGTGTAGACTATGATGAACATTTAGAATTCATTATTAGTTTCTGTCTTGATAACCTTTACTCCAAACATATGACCACAAACTTTACCAAGAACTGTAATTATTTCTTACCAATTTGTAACAAAGTGCAATTTCAAGAGCCTGTTTGGTTAGGCACAAGCATGGGTACAATAATCTTTACACGTAAGATTAAACATTCGCTTCCATCTGCAAAGGAGTTTTGACCAAAACTTTATTTTTTTCTAGAAAACTTCCTCCTAAGCCACTCTTACAGCTGCTAGTTGTGCTGTGAGTTCATTTACAGCAGGTGGCCTTGAAATTTTTGGTTCTATTTCCCCTCAGAGCAAAATGTGTTGCTGTTTTTGTATTTCCCATCATTTGGAAAAGAAAACGTGTACTCAGATACCCGGATCCTTTGTTTCTGTTTCTTTGCATTGTCTGGATAAACAGCTCACTTCCTGCTTTCAGGGACCAAGCCCAGAGGAAAACAAGCTCCCACCATCAGCCAGCTCCACGGAACAATGGATCCGGGGAACAATGTCCCACCTGAATTAGGGAAATGTGGCCACCTGGAGTCTATCCCTTTGCGGGCATTGCTTCGCTACAGGATGTGCGTTCTGCCGCTCAGTGGGCTGGACAGAAATAAGACAGTAATGTCCTCTGAATCTTGATATCATGTCTGCTGTCCCCAGGAGGCAACTATACCTCAAGAGTTCCTTCTTCTGGGAAACGTAATAATGGTGATCTGCAGGACAATGGCATAAGTAAGCACGACTCATGTACGACACATGGCCCAGTAAGCCCATAGGAGACAAAATTGTCCTACTTTGAGGCAAAATTGTGGTTTTTTTCAGTCTCACTGAAAAGACTGCATTGTGCAAGGGCTTCTTGCTGAGAAGGAGAACATAGAACCTCAAGGCAAGCCGCTCAGGATGTGTTTGTAAGCAGAGTATGTACTTCTATGGCAGGGAAACTTGCGTTCCTACCTCGGGCCCGACGTCTACCAGATGCATGAAGTATCTCGAACAGTGTCTGGACAGAGGCTGAGGAGTGACCCAAAGAAAGAGGACCATTTGGTGGCCAAAGAGGGGACAGCAGATGGAACCTGGAGAGGTCGGGAGACAGATCAGGCTTTGACACTAAGAGGCTGCTAAGGTGAGCGTCAGATGACAAGAGGATGGGTCAGGAGGTCCCTGCAATGTGCCAAAGGTGTGTGCGAGGAGCTCTGGAGAGAAACGGAATGGAGGGGGGTGGCGGTTAGAGCCCCATTTTCAGATGTCTCTTGCTCTTCTGCCTAAAGATTTAGTTATTACCATATATCCATCCATTACCTTCCAGATTTATGTTGAGGACAACTTTTTACCTCTTTCCATGATTATGAAATAAAACGATTCTCTTGACACTTAGAATTAAAAGGGGCTTATTCAAGGGAGAAAGCTTTTCTTTTCTTCTTTTCTTTTCTTTTCTTCTTTTCAACATAATAACATTTTATAAGTAAATGAATAATAAAAGTATTATTTTTAACAGAAAATATTAAATATGGCATATTTTCTTTTTTTTAAATATGAAATTTATTGTCAAATTTGTTTCCATACAACACACAGTGCTCATTCTAACAGGTGCCCTCCTCAATGCCCATCACCCACCCTCCCCTCCCTCCCACCCCCCCATCAACCTTTAGTTTATTCTGTTTTTAAGAGTCTCTCATGGTTTGACTCTCTCCCTCTCTAACTTTTTTTTTCCTCCCTTCCCCTCCCCTATGGTCTTCCGTTAAGTTTCTCAGGATCCACATAAGAATGAAAACATATGGTATGTGTCTTTCTCTGTATGACTTATTTCACTTAGCATCACACTCTGTGGTTCCATCCACGTTGCTACAAAAGGCTATCAATGGCCAAATTATGGAAAGAGCCTAAATGTCCACCAACTGATGAACGGATAAAGAAATTGTGGTTTATATACACCATGGAATACTACTTGGCAATGAGAAAGAATGAAATATGGCCTTTTGTAGCAACGTGGAAAGCTTTTATTTCCAAAACATGCATGTGATATTAACTTTTGAAGGGAGCGGGGAGGGCGATGCCATTCGCGGAAGGGGCTCTAACGCTCAGGCACGTCAAGGAGACGTCATGCTGCCTGTGAGTGTGTGTAATTGGATGACAAGACAGGCAGCTTACTCGGACAAAATTGCCTGAAAGTTTATCCAGCAGCGTCTACTAGAAACAAGAATAATCTTCCAGCCAGATTCCTGAGCACTCACTATAGATTTTATTATTGATAATAACAATTATAACCCTAAACAGTTAGAGTTTGCCTGATGAGATCTTACATAGTTACAGATTTATTAGAATTCACACATCAACACAAATTTTACATGGGAACAATCAAACCATATGCAAGATGAATTACGATGTGCTGATGGGTTGAAGGACTCATGTAACTAGGACCTGGAATCCAGAGGAAGAAGAGATTTGAGCTTTTGCGCAGCGTTTGGCTTGAGAGAATAAGAATCTCTCAATTTTTTGAGAGATTTGGAGAGATTTTGAGAGATCTCAAAAATGTTGAGTGTTTGTGGACGGAGAAGCATGAAGGAAGGAAGGAGGGAAGGAAGGAAGGAACAAAGGAAGGAAGGAAGGAAGGAAGGAAGGAAGGAAGGAAGGAAGGTGGAAGGAAGGATTTGGCTCCGGAGAACCGGCATTGTGGGACTCACAGGGTTGCACCTGATCCGAAGCTGGGAGGGAGGTCCCATTAGAACGTACAGAGGTGTCTGGAGAAGGTCACAATGACGAGGGGATCACGTGGAGCAACGTTTCCGCGTCCTTCGGGGGAGCAGAAGGGCTCCCCGTGGGTCCTGTACGGCAGCCCAGAACAAAGGCAACTAACCCACGGAGTAAACGTGCGTGCCGCGGGAAATGTGTGTGAGGTGCCTCAGACTTTTTTTGAGTGGCTCTAGTTAACGACTCCTCTGATTTAATATGAGCTGTTAAAAAGAATCACTGCTTTTCGACCAAATTATCATACCCCTAAAAATGCTCGTCAGCCTGTCAGAGCCGTGCCTGCAGCTTGAACCCTCCGATGATTTAACTTTCCCTCAATATTCCGTCTTCTCGTCATAAAAGTGTAGATAAATAACTCAAGTGCAAACAGAAATTCTTTTACCTCTTTTCAGGGAGCTGCTCTGAGCGCCCAGGGCCCCTGTGCCCCTCAACTCTGCAGCACAGTTTAGCGTGAGGATATTGGCTGAAAACCCCAAGCATTCTGCACTAGCAGATGGGGCGTGTGGCCATTTTTGAAAAGGAACAAATGTATGCATTTAATTAGGAAGGGATTTGACAGGCTCCTTTCCTTTGGTTGCATAATTTTGGAGACAATTGGGATACAGTGCATTTTTTTTTCCCTCTCAAAGATAACACTACTGTAGCATTTTCCCATTTCTTCCTTTCTCCCCCCGATGTTTTTACATGCCTGCCTCAGTTTCGGAGCTCATAAATGATATTGTTTATGCGACTTTCTTTTTTTTTTTTTTTTCCCAAGATCTGTGGCAGAGACCGGTCGTGTCTGTGACTCTTCCGACAGGAGACCCACTTGGCATGCAGACACTTAATTTATGGCTGGCCGAGTGCTAACAGCAGCCTGCCTCTGAGACCCCGTGCCTCACCCCACCTTGAGCAGTTTGTCAAGGATGTTGTGAGGCCGAGGAAACGCACTCTTTTCAGGGGGCAGGTCTCAGCGCATTATGTGACTTTTACAGGGGATATTTTAGCGGTACAATCTTTGGCCTTGCAATATAGGAAGAACTGGGGACAAAGGAAACGCCCTTAATGTCAGCCCAGTTCTTGGTGTTGAGCAGCACAGGTTGTACAGGAATCTGTGTGAAGAGAAGGCGTACAGACCCCTTTTCGTGATGTCCTTCATCCACAAGGGGGTCGAACGACGAACCTCGGGCATAAACGTGCCTAAAGCAAGGATGCTTTTGACTCAGCTATTTATTTAATCTGCAAGACAGATACAATACCAACCCTATCCACAGGGCAACCTGAGAGTGGTTGATTGCGATAACATCTGTAGAAAGACTGGAGGCCCTAACATGTAGAGGGCGTTACGTGAGACTTTCACAGGCCCTGGGCTTGGAGGCGCTCTCAAAAGCGTGGGCAAGGCGACCTATCCCTGAAGGGCTACGACACCTGAACGGCACCTGACAGCCTGGGTCTTTTGTCTTCTCCGTGACCTGTCGTCATGTCTTCGTCTGTCCTTTGAAACCTGGCCCCTTATATGGGACGGAAAGGATGCATAGAGTTGAAACTGTGGGTGGGGCACAGACAGTAGATCTTGTGTGCGGGCTTTCCGGCTTCTTCCACATCGAGGGAGATGACAGAAAGGTCAAGGGAAAAATACTGCACACCCCGCTGACCCTGGAGAGTGAAGATAGGCGCATTACTTTGTGTGTTCATTGAACAAATACATATCGAGTAATTGCTCTCTGCCAGCCCCTTGCTCGATATGTTAGAGGGCAGGACAGATACCATTCAGCTCTTCTGAGGCACAGTGATCAGCACACATCTATAATAAAAGAGTAACATATCAAACGTACGTAATCGGGACTTTGGGGAGGAAAACAGGACAGCGTGAAAGGGAAAACACAAGATGTGGGTGGTGGGTGGTCAGGAGGACGTCCCGGGGATCGTAACGTTTAAAATGCGACCCGACGACATAAAAGGAGCCAGCCGGGAGAACACAGAGGGGGCCCTTTTTACACTGAAGGCACAGCACGTACCTAGGTCCCGAGTCGGGGGAGTGAGTCCCACTTCCGAGGAAACACGATGCCAAGTAAGCCATTCCAGAGGTCAGGTCACACGGTGTGTCCTTGGACATGTGAAGAAGTTTCTGTGTCTGTGGACGTGTACTGGAGGGTGACTGCTTGAAAACTGCGAGCGAGGCCGTTGGCTATGAAATTGAGAAGAAATGGATGGGTTTGAGGTTGGCACACACATGGCCAGTAGGACGTGTTGGAGTGAAGGAAAGAGGTTCCTCAGAAATACCTCCGAATGTTGAAGCAAATGTAGGGCAAATGCTTTGAGACTGGTGTGATTGCCCGAGACCAGGTATACTGTGGGGACAGGAGTTTTAAGACGTAAAAGCATGGAAGGATGCATTTAAGAGGGTAGAAATGAGGATTCAGTTTCAGATATTATAACTTTGAAAATCGGAGAGGCATATTGGTAAGATGTCCACTGGGCGCGGGATACGACCTCTAGAGTTGAATTTCGTCCGAGTGTGAGGTGTGCATTTTGGATCTGCCAGTACCTAAGTGGTATGTAAAATTATCCGAGGCCATAAAATAAGAGAAGCATGGAATGACAGGACGGAGCGGGAGAGGGTTCAAAATTCAACTGGCTTCCCAAGTCACTAGGAAAAATAGGAAGAGAAAACAAACAAACGAACAAAGGAGAGAACAGCCATAGGAATCAAAACCAGGAGTATGTGAAATCCTGAGCTCCAAGAACAGCGATTCAATCGGGAGAGATAGTCCAGTGCGTCAAAACTTCCTGAGAGAATAAACAAGAAGAAATGAAATGGCTTCAAAATATAATTTACTGGATTTGACAACATGTGAATGTCTAGTCACTTTGTCAAAAGCCATTTCAGGGGAGCCAGCAGTTAGAGGGAATAAGGAAATGGGAGGAATTGAGTAGAAAACCCACTTGAGAAGCATGAGGACAAAGTGGCTACGAATTGAGAAAAAGGGAGGTGGACATTTGGAAGGAGGGAGGTGGAGCGATGTAGTCATAGTGGATGGCACTGTGAGGCCGAAAGACAGTTGTCTGGGGGATTCCAGAACGTGTGCACGTGGGCTTATGCAGATGAGTCCCTCAGGAGCCAGAGGGCAAGCACGCAGGAGGAAGCACAGCGGTATCCTCAGCCTCCGTGGATGGATTGGCCATCCGTCAGCAGAAGGAAGAAGTCCGATGGGTGCAGCATGGGTAGATGGAGAGACGTCTAGAGCAGGGGTTTCCAAAATTCTCACTACCACGAACACCCTTTCATTTTCCCTACACAAGGCCCATCATTTAAAATATTCTATGTGCAACACTCACTTAGTTAATTCCAGTAGCTTCTTTTCCCCTAAAAAACCAATTGGGTCAGCGTGCAGCGTAAGGTAAAATTTTGCTAAGTGTGGAAATATCTGCTCTTACGACTTTAGCTTGTTCTTGGCCATCGCTGTGGCTAACTTGTCTCTAGTGTGAGTATCGCGGTCTCAGAGGCAATTTCGCCGCTCAGGACGGAGGTAAATAGGAAGAAGGTGAGCATGTTTTCAAGCGTTTACTCATTTTTGAGAAAGAGAGAGAGAGCACTAGTGAGGGAGAGGCAGAGAGAGAGAGGGAGACAGAGAATCCAAAGCAGGCTCCGTGCTGACAGCAGAGAGCCCAACGCGGGGCTCAGACTCACAGACAGTTGGATCATGACCTGAGCCGAAGTCAGATGCTTAACCAACGGAGCCACCGTTGGACTTCTGGGGTGCCATCTGTGGGTGGACCGCCTGTAACCATGACCATCACATGGTGCCACGTCCTCCGGAGCTGTGATGTTGCGTCTTTGGGACAGTGAGCACAAGTCAGAGCGACTCTCCTTCACATCGCTCTCAGCGACCTGCTTGGGGGAACATGCTGTTTCCTTTCCTGAAACTCTAGCCTTTGCGGGTTAGAGGTTCCGGTGCTGTCAGGGAGAAAGCTTCCATCAGGGAGCATGTGTGCGTCCCACTAAATTATAAGCTACGGCTGCTACCCAGGCACTCGATGCTCCCCGTGGAAAAGCACCAGCAAACACAAAGAGGAAGGAGTTTAGAGTGAGGGACTCTCAGAAATTGTTCTTCTCCTTTCCAAATTTTGAAATTAGCGACTTATATGCAATCCGTCTCCAGGAACTTATCTTCAGAGCTAAAAATCATTCTGCTTGACCTCACATAGAAATTCCACGGTTGGTATTTCATTTTAGACTTGAGACTTGTGGCTCAGAATAGATGACTACGTTTTTAAGAGTTTCCTTTTGTCGTAATTCTTAATATGAAGATGATAGACTTGGGGTGTGTTTAGAAAGTGAAATGATGTAATACACTATATAAAATGATAGACACATGATGCCTATATTTTCAGCTCTGATTTCAGGAACACAGAAAAACCCAAAGTGTGGAAAATCTTTAATTTCTGGCACCTATCATGAAGTAGGTTATTTTGGATATTAAAATGAATAAAAAATACCAAATTTCCTCTGATGGCAACTGTGAGCATATTTTTAAATACTACTCACTGACAGTGCAACATGTTCAAAATGGTCTTTAGCAGGTGTTCTCCTGAAGCAAAAGCTGTGTTGCTATAAAAAGCAAGTAACAGGAAATGGTTACATTAAAACAATGTATAACAATACCGAAATATGAGAAGGAGAATGCACCGTGGATAATCGTGATTTGACTCTTTTGGTGCCATGATGTTTTATCATCCACACAAAAGAATAGTTTATTTTGGGTCATAGTTTTCGCCAAGATCTAAGTGAGTTGTTTTCCTAATTTGAAAGGTAGAAAACTGTCAGTGATAAATCATGAAAAGTAAAATAAAAAATAAAATAATGGAAATAAGTTATAAACTGTTGATGTAGTAATATACAATCTCTAATATCATGTTTTTATTGAAAGGAGCAGAAGAGAAATACTCTTTGCAACCTGCTTGGTTTTTCATTGAGTTCATGACGGGTAAACGTGCATATTAAATATAGCTCAACAGGGGCGCCTGGGTGGCTCAGGTTGGTTAAGTGACTGACTCTTGACTCCAGCTCAGGTCATGATCTCACGGTTTCGTGGGTTCGAGCCTCGTTTCAGGCTCTGCGTACTGACCTTGCAGAACCCGCTTGGGATTCTCCCTCTCCTCTCTCTCTCTGCCTCTCCTCTCTCGACCTCTCCTCAGGTCATGATCTCATGGTGTGTGAGTTCGAGCCCCGTGTAAGGTCTCTGGGCTGTCATCTGAGAGCCTGCTTTAGACCCTCTGTTCCCCTATCTCTCTGCCCCTTCCCTGCTTATGCTCTCCCTCTCAAAAATTTGAGAGAATATTTATTTTATTTCTCAAAAATAAATAAACAAAAAAACCCAAAAAGACTATCCTGTAATAATAGCCTGGAAGAGAAAGACAAATCCCTAATTGCAAATTATCCTCTCATTTATATCATCATTGAACTAATTTTACTTATATCTCAAAAGCACATAATACACAAATAACAAAAAATATATATGTAAATGGTATAAAACAGATGGCTAATACTTTACCATATAAATGTTATATCCTTTTTGTTATAAACATCCATATAGTAGCTGTAATAATAACAAAAATAATGATAAAAATACCAATTAAGTAAAATATCTTATTAGAGACAACCACAGAAAAGGAAAGAAAAAGAGAAGGAAGGAAAGAGAAAGAAAGAAAGAAAGAAAGAAAGAAAGAAAGAAAGAAAAAGAGAATGAAAAGACTTTTACTTCTGACTAGAAGAGTTGAAGACTTTTCTTCTCTCAAGCAAAGAGCTAGAATACTGGAAAACTTTCAGATGCAAATACGGTCAGATCTTGGACAGCAGGCAATGCAGATCTGGGATCCTGGAGAAAGGGCAAAACATTAAATTAGTCCCAACAGTGTTCTGGCTTTGTTCTTGAGATACTTTCTGCACACATTACCAGAATGGGGAACCAAAAATAGCCTAGTATGAAAGGATACTTACTGCGTAATTCAATTTACGTATAATAAATCTATAAACAATAAATCCACTCTGTAATAAAATTCAGTTGTTCCCCGGATGTGGTAGCAAGAGACTTACTGAGAAGAGAAACAGAAAAATTCACGGATGACCTGGAAATATTCCATTACTTCAGATGTGCCGTGTTTATGCAGGGGTGCACATCCTCCTAACTACCCAGCTGCATTTAAAATAGGATTCGTGGGGCTCCTGGGTGGCTCAGTAGGCTAAGTGTCTGACCTTGGCTGAGGTCACGGTCTCACAGTTCATGAGTTCGAGCCCCGCATCGGGCTCTGTGCTGACAGCTCGGAGCCTGGAGCCTGCTTTGGATTCTGTGTCTCCCTCGCTCTCTGCCCCTCCCCCGCTTGTGCTCTGTCTGTCTCTCTCTCTCTCAAAAATAAATAAACATTAAAAAAAATGAAAACATCGCTTCTCGGCCTTTTGGCTAAGATCAAGTGTAAAAAAAAGAAAAACAAACATGGACACGTGGGGTGCCTGGGTGGCTCAGTGGGCTGTGTCTGACTCTTGATTTCGGCTCAGGTCATGATCTCACAGTTCCTGAGTTCGAGCCCTGCATCTGGCTCTGCACTGACGGTGTGGATTCTCTCTCTCCCTCTCTCTCTCTCTGACCCTCCCCTGCTTGCTCTCCCTCTTTGTCTCAAAAATAAGTAAATAAACTAAAAAAATTTTTTTAAACCAAAACTATAAATGAATATAAATCAACAATTAATCCAAGTGTTAAACGACTGTATGCACCAATAAACTGTAAAAAGTAAATAAGGAGAAATTAGTGAGTTATGACAGAAAATTAGTAGGACTGACAGTGCAGCCAAAAATAAGTTTTGAAATTTTTAGTAAGTGAATGTCCAACAAAAACAAAAAAGAAAAAGTATCAACATATCATACTGAAATTGATTAAGGCTATATAACCTAAGCTACAGAGGCATTTAATAATTCAAAGCAAATGTTGTACATAGATAAATGTTAGCCAATTTTAAATATTCACTTTCTAATATAAATTTAAATTAATGAGACAACACAAGACACGTGCTAAATATTAAATGTGGCAGTGAGCACAGAAATTATTTTCAAAGTTTGCAATGAAGTGCCTCAAAACTACACAGGTACATACAGGATTGTGGGTTAATTCCAATCAAACTTTATAGAACACATAAGTCACATCCTGTTTCAAAATAACCCAGAGAATTAAAAAAGAGCACAGGGTGTTGTATGGAAACTAATTTGACAATAAATATCATATATTAAAAAAAATAAAAAAATTAAAAAAAAAGAAAAAAGAAAAAAGAAATTGGAGTTCTCTTAGATTCATTTTATGAACCATAACAAAAATGTGACCAATGGTATAACCTATCTTAACAATATGGATTCAAAGTCGTAAAAATGTTACTAGATGCTGCTGAAACCATACAATAAGACCAACTGAGATTTATTGCAGGAAAACAAGCCTCATCGAACATATAGGACCATCGCAATGCATCCAGTAGGTCAACAAGGTGCCACAATACGTTGATAAAATCAGCAAGTATTTTTTTTTAGTAGCTTTATTTAATATCCTTCCCAAGCCCTACAACACATCCTCTGAAAGTACACAATTCAATGCTTCTTCGCATATTTACAGAGTTGCGTGATTATCTATTCACTATCATCCTTATCGACTTTTAGAATATTTTCATCGCTTCACGCCATTCACAGCCTTACCTCTTTTCTGCCAAATTCCCCGAGCTCTGGGCACGCTAATCCGTATTTTGATTCCATACATTTGCATACACTGGGCATTTCATATAAATAGAATCATACCATACACAGTCTTTGTGACTGACTTCTTTCACTAGGCATAACGTTTCAAGGTTTTTTCATGCTGCAGCTTGTATCTGCGTTTCATTTTTTATTGGAGAATACTATTCCGTTGTACGTGATATCCGCATTACCTATCCAGGATCAGACAATGGACATTTGAGCTGTCTCCATGTTTTGACTGTTACGAAAAATGCTACCATCAACATTCGGGGACAGGGAAGGATGTTTACGTGGATGTTTGTTTCCAAATCTCTTAGAGAGATACTTGGGGGTGTGGATTTAGAAAGTCATCTGATTTCCCTATGTTTGGCATTTTGAGAAACTGGCCAACTGTTTTGTAAAGTGGCTGCGCTTTCCAATTTGGTTGCTTTTGTTTCTTTTTCTTGCCTGACTGTTCTGGCTAGAACTTCCAATACAATGTGGGACAGCCTGGTGAAACCGGGCAGCCTTGATGGGCCGATGTGCTCCTCGTCTTAAAGCTGTCAGTCATTCAGCGTGAACGTGTTAGCTGTGGCATTTTCCTACATGCCCTTTGCTGGGTTAAGAAAGTTCCTTCCTGGGGCGCCTGGGTGGCGCAGTCGGTTGAGCGTCCGACTTCAGCCAGGTCACGATCTCGCGGCCCGTGAGTTCGAGCCCCGCGTCAGGCTCTGGGCTGACGGCTCAGAGCCTGGAGCCTGTTTCTGATTCTGTGTCTCCCTCTCTCTCTGCCCCTCCCGCGTTCATGCTCTGTCTCTCTCTGTCCCAAAAATAAATAAACGTTGGGAAAAATAAAAAATTAAAAAAAAAAAAAAAAAAAAGTTCCTTCCTGTGTCTAATTTCTGAGTGTTTTTGTCACGAAAGAGGTTGGGTTTTCTCAAATGTTTTTTTTTTTTTTTTTTTCCCTTTTTTTTTTTTTTTTTCTTGTATCTCTTTGGATGGTCATGTGGCTTTTGTTCTTTATTTTTTTAATGCAACGCATCAGAATTGGGTTCTGGCTGTCGTAAGAACCTTGCATACCCGACATAAATCCCACGTGGTGGTGGTAATCCACACGATCCCTTTTATGTTCTGCTGGATGAAATTTGCTGGCATGTTGTTGAGGATTTCTTGGTCTGCAGTTTTCTTTTATTGAAGTACCTTTGGTTTGGGAACAGGAAAATTCTAGACGCACACCATGTGCTGGAGAGTGATGCTTCCTTAGATTTCTGGGAGGATTTTGTGAGGGACTGGTATTAATTCTTCCTGGGATGTTTGGTGGAATTCGCCATTTGAATTGCGAATTCGGTTGGGCAGTGAAACCATTTTAGCTTTGCTCTTTCCTTCATGGGAGGCTTTCATAGGAATAATTCGACACTTTCCTGTGGTGGGTATGTTTGCATTTTGTATTTCTTTATGAGTCAGTGTCGGTAGTTTTGCATTTCTAGGAATTTCTCTTTTGCATCCAAGTTGTCTGATTTGTTGGCGTAAGTTGTTAGTCGTATTTCATCACAATCTTTCTGAATTTCTGTAAAGTCAGCCCCAGTGTCCCCTCTTATGTTTCTAATTTTGATGGTAGATGTCTTCTGTCTTTTTTTCTTGGTTTGTCTTGCTGAAAATATATCAAGTGTGTTGATCGTTCCCAAGGGCTTACTTTGCATTTTCTTGATTTTCTCTACTGTTTTTCTTTTCTTTATTTCTTTAATTCCTGCTCCGATCTTTACTTCCTTCCTTGTTTTCTTAAGGTTTATTTTGTTTTTCTTTTCAGTGTCTCAAGGTAAAAAATGGTAGGTTATTGATTTGAGGTCTGTTTTCTTTTTTAATACAAACATTTCCCATTGTAAATTTTCTCTGAAATAGTTTTAACTGCATTTCATAAGTTTGGTATGTTTTGTTTTCATTTTAACGTATCCGAAAATATTTTATAATTTCTCTTCGAGTCTCTTCTTTGACCAACTGTTTTTTTAAGAAACATATTTTATAATTTTCACATACTTGTGAATTTTTCAAATTTCTTTCTCATGGTGATTTCTGGTTATATTGAAATTTTAGAATATACTTGTATCCATATCTATGTCAATATTTTCAAATTCAGAAGTCTTGTTTTACAGGCTTGAATGGATGTTACCCTCTGGAGTCCTCCATTTATGCTCGAGAAGAATTTGTATTCTGTTTTCTTTGGGTAAAGTGTTGTGTCTGTGGTATGTTAGCTCTGATTGGTTTCTATAGTGCTCAAGTCTTACGTAAACTTGTCAATAATCTGTCCAATTGTCTTGTCCAGTATTTAAAGTGGGCTATTTGTGTCTGCAATTATTACTGTTGAGTTTTCTATTTCTCCCTGAATTGTTCTGTTTTTGATTCGAGTAACTTAGAACTCTGTTGTTAAGTATATGTGTATACACACACACACACACACACACACACACACACACACACACACATATATATTTCATTATTATGAAATGTCCTTTGTCTCTCTTAAGAAAGTCATTGTTTTATGGTCCAGTATGTCTATTGCAAGTTTGGCTGCTCCGAGTCTCTCATGCTTTCTTGACATGATATCATTTCTGATTCTTTTGTTTCCATATCTGTTTCTTTGATCCTAAAGTATGTCCCCTGTAGAGCAAGAGAAGAAAATCATCAACTTTATTAAAAGAAAGTTATAAGTGTCTAGTCTAGCAAATGCTTCTTTAACATGATAAAGAATACCTACCTCAAGCAATTTGCTAAAATCAAGCGTCTTCACTGAAAAAATACAAACATGTCTTCTAAATACAGAACCAAGAAAAAAATGAATACTGAAGCTGCCTTGTAAAATGGCTACTCTCTGGTCATTGGCTGATGCTGTAAGATTATTTCTTTTTTTCTCTTTCTTTCTTTCTTTCTCTCTCTCTTTTTTTAATGAGAGGGACAAAAAGTTTAAATTAGGAAGAAAAAAAAAAACTTCATCCCATTTCTAGTACTCCAGATTCCTGTTTCCTCCTCTGCTTTTCTTCATAGTTCCTATAACCCCTTAGTAGTAGATGCTATTCTATTTGTATTTAACTTATTTATCAGCTGTCTGTATTCTTCTACTAAAATGTTAGCTTCAGGCAACAAGAACTTTTCTGTTTTTTTTTTTCCCTTCTGTGCCCCAACGCCACAGACGGAGCCTGAAACATAAAAAAGGTTAATAAAAAATGTGTGCAATATGTGGGTTATTTGAAGATGAAATAAATTCTACCCTAGAAAATAATGAAGTAGATCAACCAAAATTGTAGTAGAATACCAAGGTTCAATAAGATGGTTAGTTTCAAATAGCTATAAAAACTAGGGAATTTCTTATATGTAAAAATTAACTTTTGCAAAAATAATGGTTCTCAGCAGCAAGATTAAACGTGTCTGAGAATGAACCTAACTGCAAATACAACAACATGCAGAGGAAACTTCAAATCAATATCAGGAGGCATCTAAAAACTCAATAAATAGATGCACCGTGCTCCTGAGTGGGGAGAATAAATACTGTTTTTCTCACAAAATTAATCTATGTATTTAGTGCAACCACCTTGAAAATCCCAATGAATATTTTTGGAAGCATGAGGAAAATCCCTGAAGCCCACCTGTGATAACGAATCGATAAAAACATTCGAGAAAAGTCATGATTTGGTGGGGGAAGTGGCAAGATTTGCATTCTGTGTATTATATGATGCAAATAAGGATAATTAATAGCATGTTGTCAGGTGAAACTGTTGCCTCAATAGGCAGGCAGATCAGTAAAAAGGGCTACGGTGTCCCCAAGCCATCCACCTGCACACGGAAATTTATATGATAACGTCATTTCAAATCAGTAAGGAAATATCAATTATTTCAACCCGTGACAAAATAGTATAGATTCTGAACATGCGCTATTTTCTAAAATTACTTAGAGATGGATGAAAGATCTAAATGTGTAAAACAAGAAATGAGAAAATTATGATTTTTAATATAGGTAAAGATTCGTTTCATCTCTGAAACCAAACTCCAAAGCAGAAGCTGTAAAGAAAACAATGGATACTTTTGTGTGTGGAAAATGTTCAAAAACAAACGGATTGGAAAATGTGTGTGCTGCCTGTGATTGGCAACTTAAAAAGATCCTGACAATACATAGAATCTTTCTAAGCCATCAAAACAAGTATGGACCCAACTGACATAAAAAAGGAACAAAATACGTTGGGAAGTCACTTTTCAGAAAAACGGAGGTCGGCACAGCATTGCTTCTAGATTCCCCTAGAAGGAGCGGGTTATTGGAATGGGGCTGTAAGGTTTGCCAGTGACAGGCCTGGGACACCACAACCTTGGGTCTCATACCTGATCAAGGAGTACCTGGGAGCTTCCTCAGGGACCCGGCAAAGCAGGGGTGATTTACCCACAAAGCGTTACATTTGCTTCTGCCCCGTAACCAGCTGGCCTCCCCTAAGGCCTGTCTCCTTGGCTAAGTTAATCAGAAAGATATAAAAGGTATCATTGTGTTCGTTTCTCCCAAATCCATCACCCACCTGAAACACTCCATTATATGAAAAAGGAATTTCTCACACCATGCAAGTGATCAATAATCATATGGCCCAGTTATTAGAAATATAAAAAGGGGCATTTTAAAACTACTCCAAGGGCAACCATAAAAGAATACCGCCCTGAATTGAGAAAGATGAGCGGGTCCAGCTTGCACACATTGCTTGTGTCTGTGTCAGCAAATGTGCTCATCAGAGTCATTTACAGATTTATATCCTAGTCCAGTAAAAATGGCATATTCTTTACTTTTTTATAAATTTATAAATGTTTAAAATGTTTCTTTGTTTTTGAGCGCGAGAGGGACAGAGGGCGAGTGGGGGAGGGGCAGAGAGAGGGGGAGACACAGAATCCGAAGCAGGCTCCGGGCTCTGAGCTGTCAGCACAGAGCCCCACGCGGGGCTTGAACCCACAAACCGCCAGATCATGAGCTGAGCCAAAGTCAGATGCTTAACCGACTGAGCCCCCCCGGGCGCCCCGCATATTCTTTAATACATCCATTCTACCTGACACATTAATGAATGGGGGAAATGTAAGAATGTGCAGAAAGTTGAGTCAGAATGATATTAATTGCATGAATAGCCAGACTTAGACAAGACTTCAAATGCTCTACCAGTGGACTTGTACAGGGGTATAAACTGAGAGGAGACACTGGCCAACCATGCAAAGCATTATTGAAGTTTATAAATTAGCATGGAAAGTAGCCATGATACATGGCAGAGGGAAAAAATCCGTTTCAAAATTACATGAAGTTTGTTTTTATTTTACAAAAACGATCGTATTTACAATGTCTTAAGATTACTGCTGACACTTGCATCACACCGTTTCTTATTTTTAATATTTTAAATGATCACCTTTACTTTAATAATTTTAAAGTTCTTTTTCAAAATGCACTCGTTACATAAAAAGCCACCTTGTTAAAAAAGCGCGGCTGTGTGTTACAAGGGATACGTGTTTGCCCAAGACGTTACGTGTGAACTATTCACAATAACGTAAGGGATTACTGAGGAAACTGGTTTTGTGACTTTTAGTCTATTTCTGTAATTTGCTATTTACTAGGAAACACTTACTATCACCGGGTTTACCGCTATCTTTAACCAACAAGTGGTCCAATTTTCAAATGCGTGATATTCTCAGATGATTACTTTCCAGAGTCGCAAACGTCCTGATTGTGAATCTCATTTTAATTCCCATCCTGTTCAGTCCCGTCTCCCTCCTCTTGGCGATTTTCAAAGAGCTCATGCTGTCTTCACGTGACCTTCGGCTACGTTGATCATCCACCGATCATTGTGATGAGGAAAATTGATTTAAAAACCGTTCTAAAACATGATGATGTGCCATGCAAGTTTCGTTTCATTTTTAACAATTGTCTCTAACAATTTCTGTGTGAATTCACATCTTGCCTGCCCCCCGGGAGAATACTCTTCTTCGCCCCTGGGAAGGGTAGCATACAGATGGAACATTCACTGTAAAGAGTAACACGCCTCTCGAAGATCAAGCAAACCCTAGCACGGGAGGAACTTTGCAAGGGATAACACCAGCTGACGCTGACGCGGCCTGTGCTGTTTAAAACGTTCTCTCATCTATATAATTTGAGCCTCTGTTTCAATCGCGAGGCTTTATTGTTAAGCGCAGACTATACCCAATGAAAGAGACCTGGGGAGCGTTCAAGCCCATAATCGGTGATCGCAAGGACTAAGCTAAGAAAGCAACAATCATAATATCTCTGTTGTTAATTAAAAACTGGGCTCAGAGGGGTAGCGCGATGTCAGAGGCCCCGCCTGCTGTCGGCAATGGTTATCTGAAATCAAGTCAAGATGGGAAACTGAATATATTTAATGTGATTATGTGGTATGTCCACTCGCTCCTGTAAGTGTGTTCAAGAGATAGAAATAACGCCTTCAAGGTGTGTCACCTCCATCTTGGAGACGGACACAAAAGACACGGGGTGTGATTACGATGTGCTCTACTGGAGACGTGCACAAAGTGCTGTGGCCGCACAGGGAAGCGAGCTCTGACACACACACACACACACACACACACGCTCACACCCACCCAGGCACAGGCTCTCACACTGTCCCACTCTTCCCCACGGCAAGTAAGGTGGGACCAGAGGCTCCACAGGGAAGATGTGACCTGAATGGGTCTGGACAGACGGCAAAGATGAAAAAAACAATTTTTTTTTGATGTCTATTGATTTTTTGAGAGACAGAGACAGGGCATGAGCAGAGAAGGGGTAGAAATAGGGGGAGACACAGACTCCGATGCAGGCTCCAGGCTCTGAGCTGTCAGCACAGAGCCCGATGCGGGGCTCGAACTCAGGAACCTTGAGATCATGACCTGAGCCCAAGTGGGACGCTTAACCGGCTGAGCCCCCCCCGGCACCCCCAGACGACAAAGATTGTTCGTGGGGACATGGGGTTGGTCACTCTTGGGCAGAGGGAAAGGGTTCCAACAAAAGAGCCGAGCTGTGACAGCAGTCCACCGTTAGTTAGAGTCCCAAAGAATTCCAAGAAACAAGGACAGGAGGGGAGGGAAGGCCGGACTCTGGAAGCCAGTGGAGACCCAGAAACGCCCACCCCCCGCCCCCTCCATAATTCCAGCCATGGACCCTGCCCCGCTCCTCTCCTCGGAATTCCTCACCACAAGGCGAATCACACGGTTTATTTTCCCCCCAGAGGGGCCTGGCTTTTGCTTCGGTCGTTAATGAATCCCGAGTTTCTACGACGGCGCCGGCCATGCAGGAGGTGCTTAATAAATGTGTTACAAACGCTCTGGATAAGAGCCCGAATAAAGGTACCTTACGGGTTCCCATTCTGGCTGTATCATTAGACGGCCGTATGGGCTTTGGCGAGTCTGTCTGAACTTTGATTCTCCCCCTTTAAAAAATGGGAAACTCATGATGGGAATACTCGTAACAGCTGATCTCGGGCGACTGCTGGGGAAGCGAATTACACAGGCAAGCCCTCAGCCACGCGAGTGTCCAACGGCCGCCGATGCGAGCGGGACGGCGGTGCCGGTGACGATCAGGACAATGGCGAGGTCACCAGGGCGTGCCCGACTTCCGGTTTGGGCGGCGGTGGCGACGGCGGTGCCATCGTTTTGCTTTCTGGGGACCGAGAAGACGCCTGCAGTGGAATTGCTTCCAGGGTCCGCCCCACGGTCCGCTGGGCCGCACCAGCGACCACGACTGATAACCGGGCCCAGAGCTCCTCGTCTGGAAACGAGAATTCACTCGCAAAGACGCAAACCCGCGATTAGCTGCCTGCGATAGGCTCCCGGTGCCTCCCAGCTCGGACGCGGGCAAAAACGGCCCAGGGTGCTGTGCGCGTGCGCACACTTTGCTCCCACGTGTGCCACCGATGTCCCGGATGGAGCACCCATCTCCGGCACTCTGTTTCCGGGACCCTAAGTCACGTGGGCGTCATTGCTGGTAAGAGCCACTGCCACGTGGGCCGCGATCCGACCCGGTTTTGTGATGCACTTTGGATAATAACTAGGGTCTCTGGCCTTGATCTCTGCGGGCCCCGGGTAGAAGCCCGTCAGGTCACGAGCGATCTGTCCTCCTGATTCACACAAGCCCTTTTGGATCATTTACCAAGTGGATCCTCTAAATTCTCAAACAAACAAACAAACAAATTTCTAAGCCAACAACGAGTTTGCTCTCTCAGCAGCGGGGTCTCCAAAATACACAGAACCTGCTGTACAATTCATCCAGCAGGGGGCACCCGACCAGTGAACAGGACAGACCCCCCCCCCAGTTATCCACACCTGCTTCTGGAGGGGCTCCCAGGGGGCCCCACCTCAAACAGGTCTGCGTGAGGCGTTGTGTTCCCCGTCCCCCAAACCATCGTCTGACTACCCCTTCTCACCTCTCTCCCCCCACCCCCAAGTATTTGCCCCATGAGGTCGTAAGCCTGTTATTAGCCCAGACATGGGGGCGGGGGGTGGGGAGCGGGCAGTGCATGAACCGAAAGAAGAATAGAGGGAGCAGATGAACTGTCCTGGGGCCATCAGGGGCTTTGCCAGGAAACGTGGCCAGAATTTCTCACAACCTCCTAGGAAGCCGACTCACCTGGAAGAGGGTAGCAAGGAGGGCGTGCATTCGGTGTCCCCTCTTAATGTCATTTTAAGGTCACCCGGGAGGAGAGTCTGTCCAGCCGCTGACTGCGCGTAAGAAAGGAAGGCTGTGTTCTCAGTGACACAGACGAGTTGTTCCACGCATGGTCCGTCGTGGAGACGGGAGCTGTCACCATGTTTTTTGATAGCAAACCCTCAGGTATTGAAAAGCCCAGCTCCTCGGTGTCTGGTATCCTGAGACTCAGCTTGTCTGAGGCGCAGTGTCACGGGAGACCCTTCTCTTTGACGTCCCCCCCTAGGGCATTTCCTCGCCTTGCTCATCTCCCGTCGCACCTCCTCTTGGGAGGCACGGGCCAGCGTGGGGGTGACACCCTACGCTGCCTCCTAACCGGCCGCCGTGGCTCGCTGTGTCTCTCGGCTCATGTCCTGCTCCAGAAATAGAAGCATTTAACGCAGACCAAGCCCCTCCAGGCCCCCTCCCTGACTCCCTGCCCGCGTCCCTTCTGTCCCGGAGACACACACAGTTGCAGGTGGACGACCTCCTCTCCGGCAGTTCCGCAAAGGTCAGAAAACTGAGACGCAGAGAAAAGAAAATGCCAACCTGGGAATTACTGAATGTGTGTCCGTGCAGAAGGCCAGGCCTTTTAGAAGATAAATATCACAGATGGAGAGAGTGCTCGGGGACCTTTGTGTTGTCACAGTTTACTGCGAGATTTATAAAGTCCACGCTGCTGAATCTGGCCTCCAGTTCAGCACCCGGACGTCCTCGAGGCCCAGCTTCGTCTGTTTGCTGCCCCAGACCTATTGCCTCCCTTCCTTCCGCCTGCTCCCCATTTCTGGGATTTGGGGTTCCGTTGACCCCCGCTGAGATGGAATATTCCTTGCTGGGTTTTTCATCTGTGGCCAGGAAGTTGGGGTCATTTTCTGAAGGAAAATAATTTGCCTTCTAGAAGTTTTTAGTAAAAGAAGAACTCTAGAAAGTAGGTTTTGTGATTATCTACGTCTGGGAGAAAACAATCAATTAGGTCAAGGTCTCTGCCACTAATCAGAGGCAATACCAGAGGAAGGAATAACCAGAGGAAGGAAAAGAAGTGGCTAGGCTACATCCGGTAGCTGAAATTTGGGAAATTTCCTCTCAGTTGGATCAGAGAGGAATGTTCCTCAGGAGGGTCACTCGAAACACATCTTGCACGTTGGTACCTGCAGTCGTGTGTCTGACAATGTATTCCATTCTTAATACCGACCTCGGCATTTGGAGCCCCGGGGTGTGGAGTCGGCCAGGTGTGAACCTGCTTTCACATCAGGGTTGCTCAGACTTGGGGGCCCCACAGGACAATGGGTGTGGTTCGTGACTCCGCTGTTTCCAATCTACGTGGTTTTGAGGGTGATCACTAGAAATCACCGAACTTCACAAAGCCCCTTGTCTGCCTCGCTTCCAGGATGGGCGTAAGGACAAGCCTACACCTTGTGATCGTTGGGAAAATGGAATAACGGGATACAGGCCACATACCTACACTGTGTCCCTCCCGTCCCCAGGTCTGAATTTCTCCTGAGAGATCAGACAGCAGAAACATATGGAACTGAGGGCAATGGCCATAACTGGCATCCCAGCTTCGGACACCTGCCGTGACATCCATACCGATCCACTGCTTCAGGCCTCTGTTTCTCGATGGGCCAGACTGAGCCCAGAGTGTAAACCAGGATCCCCTTAGTGCTGAAGAGCGTCTGGAGAGGGAAACGGAGTCCTTCTGTGAAAACCAGTAACATTACTGCTGCTTAGCGTCCACAGTGATCAATCGTGATCACGCCGTGTTGGGGACATAAGTGTTTTATTTGACAGCTAACTGCAGGCTAACGAACACACAGAGCAAAGTTTTCGTGTAAGCGTCTTAAAAGTTACTTCCCTGTGATAGAAGACCAGATAAACGTGTCGATCTGCTTTCTTCTAAAAATCAAAATGCCTGTCAAAAATCATTCTCGTCCTCTCTGTGGTTGAGTTCATCAAAACTTTGCAGTAATTTGAAACACACTGAGAATGTACTGATTTTACAATAACAGTGGTTTTCCAAAACGGGCTGATGCCGACAAAACATTTGTCATCGGCAGAGTAGGGGTAACGTTGGACCAGTGTGTCTAACTTGAGGGCCTTTGTTGACCTTTCGTGCGTAACGTTGGGCCAGTGTATCTAACTCGAGGGCCTTTGTTGACGTTACAATTTTTGACAATTTATCTGATATTTTTGTTGTGTTTTGGTTTTATTCTCAAGTGAACCAGACAACTTCACTATGTATTCTCTTGAGATCCAGGGGAAATTGTCACCCTTGCAGGCGTTATCTTCAAAAAGAAATCCTTATGCTGCACGAAAATTTTTTGTAACATTCAACTTCTTAGACTGTTAATTCCTAAGTGGTAGTTTATCTTCTTGGGGGAAAAAAAAAACCCTCCTAAACGATGTTTTGCTCTTAAGATGTCACACTGGGTGGTGAACGGTGAACCTTACCGGGGCCAGGGGCACATACGCTAAAACAGAGATGCACTGGGTGCGTGCAAGGGTGATTTTTCTCCCACACCATTCCGCGGTGAAACATCACTGCCATTTTAATTGCTCTGAGCCTCTGTGCCAGTTCCAGTCATATTTTTAATGCCCAATCGACCATGAAGCTCAGAATCTTCACTTCATGGCCTCATCAACAAATTGATCCCTAATTTCCATATGATTAAGAGAAAAATGCCTCTTTTGTAAGAGACTAGCCCTATGTCCAGCAAAGTTGATACATGAAGAATAAGAAACAATTCAAGTTGGCTAATGAAAAATTTAATTTCTCTTCACAGAGGTATGACGCAGCCAATCGTCCACATTCACAGGGTTTATGTTGCATTTTCTGCCATGTCAAGAGAGGAAGGAAAATGGAGCCATGCACTTGGGTTGTAATTGTAGTCCTCCTCACCTGGGTGTGGTCGTGCACCTGTAAGAGCTTCGTGAGTTCTCATCCGCCCTCTCCTTTCCTGGACCCCAGCTGCTGGAGAAGCTTTAAAAAATATCTCTCATGAGGAACAAATGCCATTAGCGTGAAGACTGTCTTCTATGGTTTTGGGGCAAGATATTAAGGCAGACATTTGCATTTTTCAGAGACAGGTGCCAGAATGTAGCGAAAGAGAACGTAGTAAAAGTCTCCAAATGAGTGCCAAAGGCTTTTTACTCGAAAGAATGTCTGTCGAGTCTGTGCACTACATACAGTAAGAAGAACCTTGGCCCCTGGTGACCAAAATAGGGGTAAGAAGACTGCAGTTCAGCGTCTGCGTGGCCCATCTCCTCTCCAGGTGAAACAGTACAGAAGAGGGGACCATCCCCTGCCCTCTCACTGCTGGCACTCCGGTGCAGCTGGCCGGGTGACTGCCTGGTAGGTCCTCGAGGTGGCCGCTGTTATCGGGGCACCGTGGAATCGCCCGGATCCGAGGCCTGCAGAAAGTTCACCGATCCCGATCTCCTCCTCAGGCGCGACTCCAACATCGTGGAACATTTTGTGTCACTTGGCACTGTGTTTATTCTAGAAAATGGAATAGAAGAACAATTTGTCTTGGCCTTAAGGTATTGCCATTTCCCTTTCTTACTGATTTTGTAAACCCAAATATAAAATATGCAACTATGTGAGGGTATGGGCGTTCACTTCACTGAAGTTATCACGGTAGTCATTTCGCAGTGCATAAGTCCATCCAATCGTTATTGGCGCACTTTAAACTTATACAGCGTTATATCTCAGGAAAACTGGGGGGAAATAAAAATGTAATCTTGCTTGAAAAGGCAAGACTCACTGATTTCTGAAGATGTTGATTTCCTTCGGGCCAGCCACGTAGCCTCTTTGAGCCAAAGTTCCTTAAACTGCACAAATAAAACACGGGGCTGGTAGTCTTTCCGTGTATTATAGGCTGTCGCATCCTCCAGAGTTGAAAGGTTGGGTGTAAGTGGTTTCACTGGGAACCGTGTTCTGATGTGCGCTTCTCCAAAAAAAGAAAAGAAAAGAAAGAGAAGAAAACCAAGAAATTAATTACAAGCCATGAACGACAAAATTAGAAACAATATACACACGCACGTGCACGTTCCCGCACACACACACTGACCACTGCCAGGGATTCAACACTGTTTAACTTCTCTCACGATGCACAGAACCACTAGTGACTTAGAATGTCCTGTCTGCAGCCTTCCGCCTTTCTCTCTGTTGTTGAAATGGCCAGGGAAGCAGGCACCAGCCCCGTTTACTTACACTTAGAAAACTTCGGGGTTTTCTAGAAGTGTTCAAAGATTTTT